TATTTACATGTTTATGAGACCATATTGTAATATATATATAAATCAATTGGTGTGGACGTTTAGGCTACTGTGTGGTGGTGGTAGTGGTGGTTAGTGGTAGTGGTGGTGTGGTGGGTGAAGGTGGTGATGGTATTGATTCGCCGCAGAGGTGTGGTAGTGGTCTAACCTTTGTATATCCGACCCCCCCCCTTCCCCAACCCTCCACCCTTCCCCAACCCTCCCACCCACACCCCCCCCCCCACACACCTGTAGTACAAGCACCTATAAACTCACAAATCACCACCTAATTAAAAATCACAACCCTAAATCACCTTAAATAACATGTATAACCAGTAATAATACAACACCACATAACATCCCAGGTTAAATTCTATAACACAACATCAGTTAAGTGAAGTTAATACCTTCTTGGGTTTATAGTTCCTAGTGATTATAGCTGTCACAGGTACCCGCCTCTTGACGTCACTCTTAGCTTGGATAACGCTGCTTTAACCATCGTTCCGTAACGCTTATATTACCTGTGGGTTTTTTAAAGGTTAATTACCATCCCTGGGACCCCAATGATGGTACTTACCTGTGTTAAGTATATATACAGGAAATACTATATTGTTTGTGATACCCGTTTCTTCTTCCCTGTACCACCTACCTGTTCCTACCTCTCCCAACCTCTCCCTTACCTATCCCTACCTCTCCCTTACCTATCCTCACCTGTCTCTACCTGTTCCTACCTATCCCTTACCTATCCCTACCTGTCTCTACCTGTCTATATCTCTCCCTACCTACCCATACCTCTCCGTTACCTATCCCTACCTATCCAATTAAACGAGACGAACCATCCTCACTACTCAAACTCCATTTCCCATTAAAACACAACTCCTAAATCCGTATACAAGTGAGGCATCCATCTTCTAGGAGGACCACTCAGTACACAGACGCGACAATTAACATAAAACCAGGTAGAAATATCCATAAATTATCCACCTTTACTCCTGTATGGGGCATGAGATACACCTGTAATTAGTAGAGAGATGGGGGGCTGTTTTATTATTGTTATTAGTCCAGGTAATTAGTTTTTTTTTATTTATTTAATTAACATGTAGTTGAAGGTTTAATTAGGATCAACTGGTACTTTATGTAAACATGGTATGGTAGTTATGGTAGTTAGTTTATGTGGATGGTTCTACTGGTGGTGATGGTAGTTATGGTAGTTAGTTTATGTGGATGGTTCTACTGGTGGTGATGGTAGTTATGGTAGTTAGTTTATGTGGATGGTTCTACTGGTGGTGATGGTGGTGAGGTTGTGGAGTTTGTGGTTCTTATTTTGTTTCTATACTTGAGTGAACCATACTGAGAGAACCAATGTATTTGTTTGTTTAATTGTTTGTCTAGTTATTTATTTAGTCATTTAGTTGTTTATATATTTGTTAATGTATTTTATGTATTTATTTATGTATTTGTTTATGTATTTGCTTGATTACTTGTTACTTACTTGTTTATTTATATGACCTACGTGTCTCTCTCTCTCTCTGCAGCACCACCCACCATCTTAGCTTCTGTCTTCAGGAGGGATATATTAATATTTACATTCAAACCACAACAACAGCACCACGCTAAGGCTCCCCCGCTGAGACAAGACGTAGGTACTCTCCTTAACAAGCTCAATGTTATATTATCAAAACATTTATTCTGTCCTCGTTACGTATCTAGGTAGTGTCTCGGTGTAAGCTATGGCATCATGGTGGTTAATTTTTTTTTTATTACAGGTTAAAGGGACTTGGCATAGTGGTTAAAGTTCATATTTATTTGAATGATTAAATGCTTTATTAATCCCTTGTTATCTAGTCTTAAAATTCCCTTAAGTTGGACAACACGACAAGACACGACGCAACGCAACGCAACGCAACACGACACAGGAACAGAGAAAAAAATCAAGCAATTTATGTGTTTACGACACAAGCTGCTTTTAGATTCATGATTTATAAATGTAAATGACTTGCTGGTCCCTCCCTCCATCTCTCCCTTCCTGTCTCCCCCTCCCTCTCTCCGTACTTACCTCCCTCCCTCCCTCCTTACCTCCTCCATCTCTCCCTTCCTGTCTCCCCCTCCTTCTCTCCCTCCGTCACTACCTCCCTACTTCTCTCTCTCGTTTACTTTCTTCCTCCCCCCTTCTTGCTACACCCTCTCCTCACTCACCCTCCCTTCCTCCCTCCAGCATCCCCACCCCATCACCTCACCCTCCCCCTCGCCTGGCACAAGCTCAGAGTCTCAGGCGGTGACTCAAGAAGGCTTTACACTTCTCTGTATCAGGTGTCACACAGGTGTTAATTAAAACTGGGTGACCGAGGCTTAATGCTCACACACACACACACACACGCGTATTACAGACACATACGTACACACATTCGTAGTATACATACACGAACACACACACACACACACCTTTAATGTGGACCACAACGAGGTAATAATTCCGTCTTTATCACCCACCTTAGGGAATTACCGTCATCATATGTGGTTTAGGTTAGGTTAGGTTAGTGTTAGGCTAGGTTAGTGTTACGTTAGGTTAGGTTAGTGTTAGGCTAGGTTAGTGTTAGGCTAGGTTAGTGTTACGTTAGGTTAGTGTTACGTTAGGTTAGTGTTAGTGTTAGGCTAGGTTAGTGTTAGGCTAGGTTAGTGTTACGTTAGGTTAGGTTAGTGTTACGTTAGGTTAGGTTAGTGTTAGGCTAGGTTAGTGTTAAGCTAGGTTAGTGTTAAGCTAGGTTAGTGTTACGTTAGGTTAGTCTTAGGCTAGGTTGGTGTTACGTTAGGTTAGTGTTAGGCTAGGTTAGTGTTAAGCTAGGTTAGTGTTACGTTAGGTTAGTTAGTGTTACGCTAGGTTAGAGTTAGTGTTAGGTTAGGTTAGTGTTAGGCTAGGTTAGTGTTACGTTAGGTTAGGTTAGTGTTAGGCTAGGTTAGTGTTAGGCTAGGTTAGTGTTACGTTAGGTTAGTGTTACGTTAGGTTAGTGTTAGTGTTAGGCTAGGTTAGTGTTAGGCTAGGTTAGTGTTACGTTAGGTTAGGTTAGTGTTACGTTAGGTTAGGTTAGTGTTAGGCTAGGTTAGTGTTAAGCTAGGTTAGTGTTAAGCTAGGTTAGTGTTACGTTAGGTTAGTGTTAGGCTAGGTTAATGTTACGCTAGGTTAGGTTAGGTTAGTGTAAAGGTAGACTGTATAATGAAGAGTCAGAGAAGAATTATAAATAAGTTTTGAATGTTGACTTCCGTTCACCTGTCTTCCTGTTCCCCCTCTTCCTCCATCTCTTTCCTCTATCATCACTTATACACACACTCCCTCCCTTCTATTACATCCCCCTTCACCGTCACCATCATCACCACCGCTCTCACCACCATTAACATCTGGCAGGTAACGAGACGCCCCGCTATATTTAAGCCTTTATTGCATCTCACTTTGCACTTTTCTGCAATTCATTTCATGCAACAGAGAATATCCAATTACAATTCCGTCCTACTAAACATCTCTTCTCGTCCTCTTTATCCTCCTCCTCCTCATTTTCCTTTTTTCCTCCTCCTCCTTCTTCGCCTCTTTTTCCTCCTCCTTCTCATCGCTCTCTTCTTTCTTTCTTCTGATTTATTTTCATATTTTTCTCGTTGCAGAATTTTCATAAATGAGACAAATATGGTTAGGTTAGTTTTTATATTAAATGACATGTGAAGGTAGCTTAAGTGAGGTCAAGTTAGAATATATGAGGTCAGATCAGATTAACTACATTGACCTAAATGAGCCACGTCCTCATTATCCTAAACTGTTGCTGATTGGCTACAGCATCTACCTGTTATTATGCTTACGTGTCACTCACTATAGGGTGTGACCGGGGCTCCTCTGGTCCACCCTACTGTGTGTTGTACCTGTACTGTTCCTGTGAGATCTACTTTCTCTTCAAAATATATTAATTTATACAGTGTGAACTTTCTCTCTCAACCTCTACCTTCTTTCTTCCCTTTCTCCAGCCTCTTTTGTATTCTCTTTTCCCCTCGAGTCCTCTTTCTCCCCTCTCCCCACCTCTTCCCCTCTCTCCAATATAAGGTTCGATTAAAACGTATCCGTAATCCATTTGCTCGTAAACGCTCCTTTTGCTTACACCATGAATTCCTCCTCCTCCTCTCATCCTGGGCAGTCCCGTTTATACCCAATAGGGGCTGGGTATAAACGGGACTGCCCAGTGCCCAGTATGGGCCAATAGGCCCGCTGCAGTTTCCTCCATTCTTATGTGTCAGGGAAGGTGTCTATCTGTGGAGGGGTGGGGGGGTTCCCTCTAGCGCTGCCCAGATTAAAATACTACAGTTACAACAGGATGAGAGGAGGAGGAGGAGGAACTCATGGTGTCAGCAAAAGGAGCGTTTACGAGCAAATGGATTACGGATACACCGCTCTTCTCTCCCTCCCATCACTATAGGATTGGCAACACTAAGTGGTAACGCGAGAGTGGACTCACCTTTACGGTACTGTACCTGGTAAGGTCAGGTCAGGTCATTGTTGGAACAGAAAAGTCAGGGATCAGGTCAGCTGTGACGTCACGTTATGGTCAGTGTGTCTGTATAAAGTTGAAAATCCGAAGTCAAGTTCGTGGCTTCGAAGCCGAAACATTTAGAAAGTTTCGAAGGAGAAGCCCGGTCCAAGAAAGCCTGGCTTCCATATACCGAAGCCGAAGCCGAGACCGAAGCCGGCCTCTGCTCATGACTGCAGAGTATTGAGCAAATCTGAGTTACCAGGTTGTAGCGGCGTGTGTGGCTACGAGTTGATGTACACGATCACTTCTCATCTCTTTTTACGTGATAAGTCTGATCATAAACAGTCACTGGTAACCGAGAGAAAATGTTAAATAAATTATCGTGTGGAGACGTGAAGGAAATATTGGTGGAATTAAATGAACAAGCGGCGTGTGGCGCTTGTGATAGTGCTGCAGTCTCCTTGTCACTGACTGACTCACCACACTACGTCTCACAGGCTGGTGATCACTCGTGAGGTAAATGTCTCGTGTTGTGATTATATCTATTAGTGTGTTATTATATTACCCACTAACCTTATGGTGTACGTCACTTCCTTAAAGGTAACGTACTGCATGTGTCCTAGTTATCCCCTTACTATTGTTGTAACACTTCACGTTAACCTTCCCCTTGTTGAAGACGTGTGTATGTGTGCGTGGGTGTGTTTATGTATGTGCGTGTGTCTTTATGTGTGTGTGTGTACCAATGTTAGTAAACTAAAGCCAAATAAGTCGCCAGGTCCAGATGAGATATTTAACATAAGAACATAAGAAAATAAGGAGTCTGCAATAGGCCGGTTGGCCTGTGCATGGCAGCTCCTGTCGAGAGTTACTACCACTCTCTATCATCCACGAATCTATCTAGCCTCCTTTTGAAACTTTCCAGAGTTCCCGCACTTACTACAAAGTTGCTAAGCTTTTTCCACTCGTCCACCACCCTATTTGTGAACCAGTTTCTTCCTATCTCCCTCCTAAACCTAAACTTATCCAACTTGAATCCGTTGCTCCGAGTCCTATCCTGCTCGGATATTATAAGAACTTTATCTATATCCCCTTTATTGATTCCTTTCACCCACTTAAATACTTCTATCATATCTCCCCGCACTCTTTGTCTTTCTAGGGAATGCAAGTTAAGTTTCTTTAGCCTATCCTGATATGGAAGGTTTCTAAGTCCCGGAATCATTTTTGTCATTCTTCGCTGCACCGACTCTAGTGAATTTATATCCATTCTATAATAGGGGCACCAGAACTGAACCGCATAATCGAGGTGTGGCCTGACTAGCGCAAGATATAGTTGCAATAAGACCTCTGCACTCTTGTTACTTACACTTCTAGGCATAAAACCCAATACTCTGTTTGCCTTATTTCGAACATTAACGCACTGTTTTCTAGGCCGTAGGTCCGGGCTTACAAGTACCCCAAGGTCTCTTTCACAAGTCGACTTCTCTAGGTTGATGTTGTTAAGGCTGTATGCTGGAGTATGCCCTTAAGAAACTTTTTTAATATGTCATTAAAAATAGATGTAGTACCAGGAAGCAATAGTATTAAAATCAGTTCGAGATGTCCACCTCGAGAAGCACAAATTGATGTATGATTCCCAGCATGGCTTCACAAATCTATTATAATTCTTTTCAACTGTTCTCGAATCAGTGGTTGACGGATATGATTATAATGTGGTTTATCTTGAGTTTAGCAAAGCCTTCGACAGGGTCCCCCATGAAAGGCTAATACGTAAAGTGGAGGCTCAGGAGTCAGTCAATTGGAGGAGATATTCTAAAGTGGATAAGGGCGTGGTTACAGGGACTAGAAACAGCGAGAAAGCATCAACGGCACTAAATCCGACTGGGGTAACGTCACTAGTGGAGTACCCCAAGGCTCAGTACTTGGACCATTACTATTTATTATATACATAAACGACATAGACATATGCGTAGACAACAATTTAAGTATATTTTTTGACGACACTAAAATATGACGAGGACTCTGAACAATTACAGGAAGACCTGCACAAAGTTTTCTTATGGTCTGAAAAAATGGCAGATGAAACAAACAAGTACCAAGGCTGGGAAATGTAAATAGGGAAACAGTTAACAGCCAAGTACAGTATCATAACAACATGAGAGAGTAAACACTGATTAGGAAACAGAGTAGTAGAGGAGTGGAACAAGTTGCTGAACACCAACGTCACTGGGAAGCTCTAAATACACAGTTGGATGGGTATATACAGTAGTGATATGGGCTGGGTGTAAACGGGGCTGCCTATAGTATGGGTCAATAGGGCCGCTGCAGAGTGTGTGTGTGTGTGTGTGTGTGTGTATTGGTTGCTCGGGGGATAAATACAATATCAATACTGCACGCGATTTACTTCAGATCAGATCAATGTGAGACAAGCGGTGAGTACAGCACTGCTCCGTCCATTATCGCTCACTCTGTAAACACACAAGTCATCTTGGCTGACACTCGTAGATTAGTTACTATAGTGTGTTAACTGTATCATAATTGGACTATACACCTCTATCATATCGCCCCTCACTCTACGTCTCTCGAGGGAGTGCAAATTAAGAAGCTTTAACCTGTCTCTGTACTCAAGGTTCCTGATGCCCGGGATTAGTCTTGTCATTCTCCTCTGAATTCTTTCCAAGGATTCTATATCCATTCTGTAATACGGTGACCAGAACTGAACTGCGTAATTCAAGTGAGGTCTCACAAAAACGAAGGTAACTTTTTACCTGTTATTAATGACGCCAGGTGTTGCGGGCTTCATTAATGAGTCAGTGAGTCGGGACCTATAACACTTAGTGACTCAAAACACATTTCACGACGACTATTAATGATAAGTGACTCATATCAGGTGTTGGAACATATGAGAGAGAGAGAGAGAGAGAGAGAGAGAGAGAGAGAGAGAGAGAGATATATGATCCATAATCTCACATCAAAATTTAATGACACAAAATGGCCACCACCTCACGAAGTATATTACCATGTCATATTTTATTTTCTCTCTTCCAGGTGTTTACTAAGACATACACACATACACACTTGACATGTCACGGAAGATCATCATTTCCAGTATATCAGTCGCCATCACTGTAATATTGGTAGTCCACTTTATGCTGTATGAGGGTAAGACTTATATCCTTTCTTTTAACCTTGAATCCCCCCCCCCCCCAACCAGGGCGATGAAGAATCTTTAGATAATGACTGAACAGTTTATAATTATCATCAATATAATTATAATACTTCAACAAGAGTTTAAGTTCAGCTGGACCCTCGTGAAGACATGATTCCTATGACTTTATCTAATATTTAAGATTATTGTTCTTATCTACACCTGTAACGTGAATTAATAATGATGTTGTTTACACTCTTCACAGACAATATCTTCCCGCTGGACCTGATGCCTTGGTCACGAGAATATGACATTAGCGAGGTAACAGTCAACCCCAACTATACACACACAACAGAGCCCACGAGGACGCACCAACCAGGTAATATTTTGGTTCTCAGCTCAGAAGGAAGAAGTGGATCTAGCTTTTTAGGCTCACTGGTCGCCTCACTGGGACGAAACATGTATTTCTTTGAGCCAATAAGAACCCTGGAATACGATATACCCTCCACTATTACCAAAGAAATGATGGTGACCGAACTAAGGAGAATTTATCACTGTGAAATGAGAGACAACATGATTGATAGTGATAGTTATAAGTCAACTATTTATTATCAACATACGGTTGGGTGTGGGAGACCTTATCGTGTAATGAAGAGGAAGAAGGAGGAAATTAGAATGGCAAGACGAATATGTAACAGAATGCCAGTGAAGATTATCAAGACCATTAGGTGTCGTCTACAGTGGATATCTGAGCTACTACAAGACACCGAGTTGGATCTGAAGGTGATTCATCTGGTGCGGGATCCTCGAGGAATTCTTCTATCAGTGCATAATTCTTATGGTGGAGATGTCTCGACCCACGTGTGTTCTTCGTTATTCCAGGTGAGACAACGACTATGTATGTTTGTATGTTTCATCCCTGGTTAGGCGTGAGGGGAGGGGGGTTGTAATCCAGTGTGATCCACCAAGCATGGAAGGCAGGATGAAGGTCATATAATTAAGAATAAACAGGAGATTAAACAAACTATTAGTTCCCTTCCTTCGTCAAAAAGTTAAACTGAAAAAAAATAGCCATGACGTCAAAAAATAAAGAATAAAAAAAATTATCACATAGAAATTAAAGAAATAATTTCCATTAATTTGTAGCAACAGAAACAAAATTTAAACCTATTTGAGAGAAACGTCAATTGTTTCTTAAAATTTAAATTATGGATTATTTTATTGTTTTAAGTGTAACAAATACAAACATCACAAAATGGATACAATTCTCACAGGAAACTCGTCAAGTGAAGTGTTCCGTCAGGAGCAGTTACCTGGAGGAACTTGCCCTCTGTGTTTAACTCTTTCACTACGGCGTCGCCACACTTAAACACTTTATTTGGCCAACACTAGACGATTTTATTCAGCTCAGAGGGGACCCCGTACACAAGTGGTTAAAAGCAAGAGTAATTTAAAATCTGTGATCTTTGATGGAGTTTAATATATATATATTTTTTGACTGAAGTATGATATAGTTTTATTGATGATGAGATATTCTTTTATTTACGTTTCAGGATCTACAACAGCAACAGTATATGAAGGAGAAATTTCCCAACAGCTACTTCTTTGTTAGGTGAGTACATACCAGTATACTGTTAAATACTGTAGATGCCAGTATACTTGTTATATATGCCAGTATATCGTTAAGCATACATGCCATCATCTGAAGTAGACACCAAGATGTTATTAACTAGGTGTTGGTTATATCCTTCTGAAGGTTTATGCTGTAAGTCGTTAAGACAGATGATATGAGTTACAGATTTTTGAAGAACATATAACAAGATCAAGTGTTAACACATTATACGCTCACTTGATGCGATGTATTCAGCAACATGAGGAGGTCATCCTTTATAGGGTGTCACCAGGTCATGTGTCAGGTGTGAGGACCAGTACAGCTTAGGTGTCGGGTGTGAGGACCAGTACACCAGGTCATGTGTCAGGTGTGAGGACCAGTACAGCTTAGGTGTCGGGTGTGAGGACCAGTACACCAGGTCATGTGTCAGGTGTGAGGACCAGTACAGCTTAGGTGTCAGGTGTGAGGACCAGTACACCAGGTCATGTGTCAGGTAAAGTAAGACTCGACATGTTACAGGTATGAAGACCTGTGTCAGGATCCTTACGGCAAGACCAGCGAAATATTCAGGTTCCTGAAGGGAGAAGGGAATGTCTCCAGTAGCACTAACTCCTCTTCTTCAGCGTCTCCGTCACAAGATATCCCCAGGTGCGTCCGTGAGTTCCTTCATACTCATATGGAGAAAACTGTGCACAACTCTTATAGCACCTTCCGGAACACAGCCACAACCTGGCAGAAGTGGAGGTCGTCGATCTCCCAGAAGTCACTGATGACCTGGGAACGAGAATGCTCCGACGTCCTTCACATGATGGGCCACAGGATCTTTGGGAGTGTTGACAACGCCAGGAACCTTTCATTGTCCTTGTTTGTTGGGGCGTGAGGACAACAGGATGTGTGTAGGAGTACCAGGATAGAAATATGTAAACCTGAGGTCAAAAGTTCGCTCCCTCCCAAACTGAAGCAGCTTCGACCCCAAATGGGACAAAACAACACGCCCGCACCAGATGACAGTCAAGGTAAGTCAGCTCGGAGACTCATTCCCGTCACTCAGTTTCACCACAGGGAGCGAACCTTTGTCCCCAACTGTACCATTTAATATCAAGTTATCTGGTGTGGCAATAACAGAATGGCTCTTGAAATATTCGGTCCTGAAAATTTGGTCTCGAACCTAAATTAACCTAACCCAATTTTCTAGGACCCAATATTCAGGACTCAATTTCCCAGGCTCAATAATTTTCTAGGATCAAATCTTGTGAACCATATCTTGAAGTACAATCAACCTGTATAATACTTATGATAAAGAGTTCTTAGGTCATTGTCTGTAATTCTGTATATGAGTAAAATTTGTGTATTTGTCAGTCACTGTCGTCTCCCGTGTTTATATATTGATCAATGTTGTGTACTTGCTCCAAAAATTATCTTCACGGAGGGGGACGGATGAATTTCAGAATGAACACTGTGACTCCTGTTATCTCGGTAGGGTTGTCAAAATGCTTCGTCCGTTGTGTTATATTGTCTCACACAAAATCGTGAAGATACTTTTTTTGGTGTGAATGTATCCATACACTTTTGAGTTAGTTAACATAAACAATGAGATTTTCATCACCAGATTATCAAGCATTTAAATGAAAGATTCTTCGGATCAGCTGAAAATTAGCCCCCCCCCCCCCACATATCACCTGATATTTAAGCACCCTAATGTCACCTGGGGGATTAGGGTACAATATGTCAATTAAAAGTTAGATTAGTTTAAATAGGTGAGCTTTAGGGTGGTTAATATTAAGATAAAACAAGCTGTGGTTAATTTAGGCTAGGTTAAGTTAGCATTAGCGTTAGAATGGTTAAACTGAAGGTGAAATAAGCTGGTGGTTAGCTCAGGTGATCTGCTCCATCTATACGTAACTATTACCCTCAGTTTAATACCTTCTTGAAGTCCATCCACAAGCACCAGAAATAATTTCACTTTTGTCTCAATGTGAAGAATATTTTAAGTTATCCATTCAATACACAGTTACCTGAAGGGTTAAACCATCGTCCTCAAAGGGTTAAACCATAATTTACAAGGGATTAAGACAGTTCAGTTTTATCTAAGAAAGTTAAGTTTAAATAAGCTCAGTTATGTTTAGTCTTGTTCACTTACAGGTAAATACAAAGTTTAATTATTGACCATTACTAAGGTGCAAGATTAAATGATTATAAACATCTCTCTTTCATTACTAACCTAACCTGACTTGACTAATCTGACTAACCCGATTAACCTCACCTAACCTAAACTGATGATCATTTATTGATGTGGAATATCAAAACGGCTTCATCATTGTGAGTGTGAAGGGAAAACCACCTGTGCCTCATAGGTAGAGCATTAGTTTCACACCTGTGCACTGATTCTCTTGCACCTGGTGGGAAACACAACCAGTCGTATCTGTTGTGGCAAGAGACACAGACACGTGTATTCTCTGTATAGCTGTCGAGTTCAACTAACCTTCAACATAACATAACCTACGACTGGGTCTCAGATCCCACTGCTTGGTTTTAAGTTATTTCGTTGAACCGCATTACTACTTTTGTTAACGTTCAGTGTGAGTTACTGTTCTTGTGTCCAGTGTTCAATTACTGTTGTTATGAACATTCAGAACTAGAGAAAAAAAAGTTCATTTTACCAGAATAATACAAAATACAAAGTGAACAACTACAGCAATATTTACACGACTGAATCTTTACAATGCTACAACACGCTACATAATATACTACATAATCCCTTTAAAGTGAAATTCAACCCTTTATAACTTACTCATTAACAAGACAACATCCTGTAGTTAATTATACAGAAACTTACTCTCTTCTCTTGCTGTAGTTACATTTATTTCGTATTTTCATGTAGTTCCCTGTGCCGGCCCATGATAGCTGTGGAGAAGGGAGTGTTTTATTGCTTGACGTTATTATTTTCTCTGTTTCAGGAAGCATACGAGAGAACCATGTCAAGAAGAGTGTCCATATTCCCCATCTTCGTAATGTTTATCATAGTCTTCACGTGTGGTTGGCTGAGTATTGCCTTATTGGTGTTGGAAAGTAAGGCTACCGTATTATTTTCATGTTATAATATTTAATGTGGGGGCTATGTGGGGGTGATGGAGTGGGAGTGTGGAGGTGTAGTGCCACTATAAACAGGGTACCATAAGGTGTAGTGCCACTGTAAACAAGGTGCCATAATATCCTAGTAAAGGTTAGAGATTTCATTGTTTACATGTGATGTTGTTTGAGTTAATGGTGGCCACTCCCTTAACAGGTACATGTGTTGAGCACGTTAACCGTAACTACCATACGGATCGTTTCCAGGCATCAAAAAACCTCAACGACCATCAACCGCTACGTAAGGTCGTTAACCACCAGGAACTAGCCGAGTTTAACGAGCATCAACCACCACACAAGGTCGTTAATTACCAGTTACATGACGACCTCAACGACAATCAACTACCAAATGACCTCAACAACAACCAGACACAAGACAACAATATCGACCACCAACCACCACACGATCACCAATCACCACACGACCACCAACCACCACACGATCACCAACCACCACACGATCACCAACCACCACACGATAACCAATCACCACACGACCACCAATCACCACACGACCACCAATCACCACGACCACCAATCACCACACGATCACCAACCACCACACGATAACCAATCACCACACGACCACCAACCACCACACGACCACCAACCACCACACGATCACCAATCACCACACGACCACCAACCACCACACGATCACCAATCACCACACGATAACCAATCACCACACGACCACCAATCACCACACGACCACCAATCACCACGATCACCAACCACCACACGATAACCAATCACCACGACCACCAACCACCACACGACCACCAACCACCACACGATCACCAATCACCACACGACCACCAACCACCACACGATCACCAACCACCACACGATAACCAATCACCACACGACCACCAACCACCACACGATCACCAACCACCACACGATAACCAATCACCACACGACCACCAATCACCACACGACCACCAATCACCACACCAATACCCCAAGAACATTTTAATTCTCAGCTCAGCAGGAAGAAGTGGATCCAGCTTCTTAGGTTCACTGGTCGCCTCACTGGGAAGAACAATGTATATATTTGAGCCAATAAGAACCTTGCCCACAAACTCCACAGAAAACTATTCGACGCCAGACATCCTATCAGAACTAAAGAGAGATTTTAAGTGTAAATTCCTATACAGTATGCGGGAAGCTGAACAATTCGGTGAAACATTTTATTACAGAAACTCGTCTGACTGTGGTCCGCCCTACCAGGAAATAAGGAAATCGATCAAAGCAATACAGAAGGCAAGTCGAGTGTGTAATAGTTTGCCAGTGAGGATTATTAAGACCATAAGGTGTCGTCTACAGTGGATATCTGAGCTATTACAAAACACTAACATGGATCTGAAGGTGATCCATTTGATGCGGGATCCTAGAGCTGTTAAGCTGTCCATGGAGAAGGTTTATTTTACTCCTCCTTTAAGGAAATCCGTCTGTCTAAACATGCTGCAGGTAAGATGATGATTGGTATTTTTCTTTATACATTTAATATTATTAAAATGTATATTATTATTAGTTTTAGGCTAGTGTTGGGTGCCAGTAGTCATCCACACTGAGGTTCGTTAACATAAACAGCAATTAGTTACGTTGAAAATTTCCTGACATATATTTCCTTAAACTTTTTCTTAAAATTTCATCAAAATCTCACTGTAGATAATTTTAGACATGATACTAATTAAATTTCTTGAGATAAACATTGTTAAGAATCTGACTAAATTATCTTATAAATAACTTCTACATTTTAAGAAGTAACTTTTATTTTGTTTAGTTTGTTTTATTTTTATTTGTAACTTGTTCATGTTTACGACTTTCATCCTTCCAGGACTTACAACACAAAGACTACATGCTGACACATTTTCCTAAGAGATACATGTTTATGAGGTGAGTACAGCTTAGGTGTCAGGTGAGGACCAGTACAGCTTAGGTGTCAGGTGTGAGGACCAGTACAGCTTAGGTGTGAGGACCAGTACAGCTTAGGTGTCAGGTGAGGACCAGTACAGCTTAGGTGTCAGGTGTGAGGTCCAGTACAGCTTAGGTGTGAGGACCAGTACAGCTTAGGTGTGAGGACCAGTACAGCTTAGGTGTGAGGACCAGTACAGCTTAGGTGTCAGATGTGAGGACCAGTACAGCTTAGGTGTCAGGTGTGAGGACCAGTACAGCTTAGGTGTCAGGTGTGAGGACCAGTACACCAGGTCATGTGTCAGGTGTGAGGACCAGTACACCAGGTCATGTGTCAGGTGTGAGGACCAGTACACCAGGTCATGTGTCAGGTGTGAGGACCAGTACACCAGGTCATGTGTCAGGTGTGAGGACCAGTACACCAGGTCATGTGTCAGGTGTGAGGACCAGTACACCAGGTCATGTGTCAGGTGTGAGGACCAGTACACCAGGTCATGTGTCAGGTGTGAGGACCAGTACACCAGGTCATGTGTCAGGTGTGAGGACCAGTACACCAGGTCATGTGTCAGGTGTGAGGACCAGTACACCAGGTCATGTGTCAGGTGTGAGGACCAGTACACCAGGTCATGTGTCAGGTGAAGTAAGACTCATCATGTTACAGGTATGAAGACCTGTGTCAGGATCCTTACGGCAAGACCAGCGAAATATTCAGGTTCCTGAAGGGAGAAGGGAAGGTCTCCAGTAGCACTAACTCCTCTTCTTCAGCGTCTCCGTCACAAGATATCCCCAGGTGCGTCCAGGAGTTCCTTCATACTCATATGCACAATGCTAAGGGCAACCCTTATAGCACCTACCGGAACACAGCCACAACCTGGCAGAAGTGGAGGTCGTCGATCTCCCAGAAGTCACTGATGACCTGGGAACGAGAATGCTCCGACGTCCTTCACATGATGGGCCACAGGATCTTCGGGAGTGTTGACAACGCCAGGAACCTTTCATTGTCCTTGTTTGTTGGGGCGTGAGGACAACAGGATGTGTGTAGGAGTACCAGGAAGGTGTACTGAGCTACCCAAGGCCTTCTCAAGTCTGTTCACTCGAAGCTTGCAACTGAGGCCTCGGGTCAGTTTGTAACAGGGCAGCTGATTACTTCACCTCCTTTTGACAGCGTGATGAACTAAGAGTCTCCTCGGAACGAACCAACAACCCTTAAGGCAGGAGACGAGTGTTCTATCCACTTACCCACCACATCCCATTTTTAACCATTCTCACAGGTTTCATACATTGATGTGTTTTATCTCATTATTCTGTATAAAATCCATAAATAATATATATATAAGAACCAACATTGTCTCCTTTATGTGACGATGATCTTCCCTAGATTTAGGCGTGAAATCGGTAAACACTGGTTTGGAAACAGAGTAGTGGATGAATGGAACAAGTTACCAAATATCATCATTAACTCGAATACGCTGAATAGCTTCAAACATAGGTTGGATGCTTATATGAGCAATAGGGGTTGGGTGTAAACGGGACTGCCCAGTATGGACCAATAGGCCCGCTGCAGTTTCCTCCATTCTTATGTTCATTGAGATAATCATTCACTGATCACCTGCCTGGCGGTATACTGTACAGTATAGGGTGAGGAGAGGTGATGGTCCTGCTCTCTCTCTCTCACTAAGGACATCTGTACCGTCACTTAATAATATAAGAAATAAATTATACCAACACCACCTTAAATATACACATTACAAGTGATAGGTTTACGCTGGTGACTTAACAGGGAGTTCCATATAGAGAGAAAATAATTGAGAGATGGCAAATGAAAAGCCAGTTTTATGGAGAAGTTCATTCTGATTGGTGGATATAAAGTTGATTTATATTAAGTTGATAGTTCCACGAAACCACTTAGGTATATACATGTAAGGAATGTTGTGTATATATATTATGTTTAAATAAGGATATAGAAAATTTGAATATTCGGATCATATGAAGTTTAGCCCCCCCCAGCTTATTTAACCTGTAAACACCTGAACCACTAGAAGGACTCTCGGAACTACTCATCTATCCCAACTTAACATACCGTAACCAAACTAAACGCCGTCAAACAAAACTTAACCCAACCATCACGTCAGAACGCATCAAAAATTTAACAA